GCCAGCTTGCTTTGGCTTCTGTCACAGTCTTACAGGCTACACAGGTTTCTGACCATTTTATTCATGAGTTTCTCAGAGCAGGTTTTTGCACCAGAGGATTGGTCTGAGTCCAAGTCCTTACTTTGATCAGCCTTGGGATTCTGACTACCCCTGATGGCTTTTTTCATCTGCTGACTGTTGGGTGGCTTGCTTCCATATTGCATGCCAGGACCTGGGGATAGGTTTTTTCCCTCCATCTTTTGTTCCCAGAAGAGATCAGCCTCTTTTTAGCTTCCAGCTTTGTGCAGGGAGCTCGGTTTTAGCTCCCTGCTGTTCCTAGGGCCTCAGCCTTGACCTCTGTCCCCATGTGGGTGTTAAAACTCCAGTCATAAGGGCCGGCCCGTGGCTCACTCGGGAGAGTGTGGTGCTGATAACACCAAGGCCATGGGTTCGGATCCCTATATACGGATGGCCGGTTAGCTCACTTGGGAGACCGTGGTGCTGACAACACCAAGTCAGGGGTTGAGAGCCCCTTACCGGTCATCTTTTTAAAAAAAAAAAAAACTCCAGTCATAGGGATGCCAGCATCCCTGTGGGCTGTTTGACTTCAAACATTCCCCCACTCCCCTAATTGTGGCTTTGATATCCTTATTTATTTCTGGCACCAAGATTCTGTCTTGCTTTTGAGCTTAGCTATTTATTTTTTTAAAAAAGCAAGCAACACTCATTATATTTTGCTTAGTATCTGTTTGGGGCTTGGGATATGAACCTCCTTAGGCTTCCATCTTGAATACAAGTCTCTGCGTCTCAAAAAAAAACAAAACAAAACAACAACAACAGCCCAGGTCTGGCTCATCATTCATCCCCCCACCTAGTTCTTCATATTGCCACGATCCCCATCTTACCTTTTAGCTAAAATGAGTTCTCCACGTTGCCATCATCCCTGCCCTTTCCCATCACCTTTGGCCCAGCCTGCTTCATTCATTTCAGTTTCCTGCCTGTGCCTGAAGCATTTGAGAGTGTGACTCCTGATAAAAACATCCTGCCATCCTGAGGCTGGATCCACGTCTGAGTCTTCTCTGTGCCCCTGGTACCCAGCCAGGGGATGGCAAAGATCGGGAGCCCAGGAGACAAGTGGGGAAGGGAAGGAGGAGGAGTGAAGGGTGGTGGGAAGTACTCTGGGGGCACTTCCTGTGTTCAGGGTGCAGAGGGTGGAGACACCCCTGTGGGCTCTGCCTCCCAGGGGAGTTTGGGGAAGCTGAGGTTGGAACAGAGGTGTGCTAACTCCAGCCCAGTGCTCTGGAATCAGACCATCTGGGTTTGAATCCCAGTTCTACCCCTTTCTAGCTATGTGACTCAAGCTCTTTGTGCTGCAGTTTCCTGGTCTGTAAAATAGGGGTAATAATTATAGCTCCCTTAATGAGTCTTTTTTTTGGGGGGAGCTGGCCAATACAGGGATTGAACCCTGGACCTTGGTGTTATCAGCACCATGCTCTAACCAACTGAGCTGACCAGCCAGCCCTCTTAATGAGTCTTAAGCGACATGTGAAGTGAATGACAGTGGCATAGTGTATTAGCCCCTTTTCTGTCACTTATAACAGGATACCTGAAACTGGGTAATGTATGCAGAAAGTGAAATTTATTTCTTACAGTTTTGGAGGCTGGGAAGTCCATGGTCCAGGGGGCACATCTGGTGGGGTCTTTCTTCTTGGTGGGGGCTCTGTACCCTGTAAAGCAGGGTATCATATGGTGAGGATGGGAAGAGCTCTCCCATGTGCTTTCCTTAAAAAGCTGCCAGTCCACACCCACGATAACTCATTACTTCCACTCATGAATCCATTCATGAGAGCATAGTCTTTATGATCCAATCACCTTTTTTTTTTTTTTTTAGTGGCTGGCCAGCACAGAGATCAAACTCTAGACCCTGGTGTTATCAGCACCACATTCTAACCAAGTGAGCTAACTGGCCAACCCTCAATCACCTCTTAAAGGCCCCACCTTTCGAATACCATAATCGGATTTCCCACCCTCTTAACACTGTTAACAATGAAGATTAAGTTTCCAACACATGAACTTGTAAGTCCTCAAACATCAGCTATTATTATTTGGCATTTATTAAGGTCTACTGTGTGCCAGGAGCCAGAAGGCACCAAGGGTATTGCATAGAGATCTGCCCAGGGAGAAGTCACACTCCAAGGCTTCTCAACTTCCTGTTCCATGACAAGAAGGATGGTTTTTTGGCAGGGCCTGGACCACTTTCAGCTCTTGAGCAAGGCTTGGGGAAAAGGAGACATAAGGGAAGTTTCAGGTCCTTAGGGTCTCCCTCTGCTTCCTTAGTTGTCAGTGGCCTCCCAGGCAGGACCCAAGGCTGTCAGAAGGGCCTTTGGTGCAAACTCTTTGTCTCCAGCCTGGTTTTGAAGAGGGGCTGAAGGTCTCCTGGGGCTGGGAAGTCCATGGAGTGCGTGCTGAATCCAGGAGCCTTTGTTCCCTGGAAAACAGTACCACCTGCTGGGCGTTGTGTGCCTTCAGTCTTGGCCAGGGCTGAGTCAGCTTGGAGGATCTGACCTGGTTGGGGGACATTAGTATGGCTGTGACAGTGGAGGTTAAAGGGATGGGAAGTGACTGGTGGTCAAGATGCTGTTCTGGATGGATGTGAGGTAGAAGTTATGTGAACATTGTGTGTGAAAGAAGTATGTGGTATTGGGTATGTGTTGTGTGGGTATCCTGTTTGTGAAGTGTCATGTGGGATGTCCAGTGTGAAGTGTTAGAGGTTTATGAAGTTGGAGACAAAATGGGAGGTGTGAAGTGTTGAAGGGGTTTGTTTGGTTTGTGTTGGGATGTATGTTGTGCAGGAGTTGTGGACAACTTAGATGTATGGAGATTATGTAGTCTGAGGTATGTGATACGGTTTGTGTGAGCTGTTGGCGCGTGTGGAAAGGAAATATAGTTAAAAAATAAAATCTTCCAACCCAGAAAACATCTCCACAAAGGTAGCAGAGAGAGAAAATAGTCTTATTACTGGGGCCGGCCCATGACTCACTCGGGAGAGTGTGGTGCTGACAACACCAAGGCAAGGGTTAAGATCCCCTTACCGGTCATCTTTTAAGAAAAAAAAAAAGTCTTATTACTGAATAAGCATTAAACTAGAACGTGATAAGCATCACAGGCAATTGCTAAAAGACTGCAAAAGCGGAAAGAAATCTCACCCTTTTGTATAGGAAAGCAGGCACAAACCATTATCACTGTGAGGTTGTGAAATGTATATTTAGTCTTTGTCCCTGATTCCTGGCATGCAACACTTAAAATCCTTCGAATTTCTAAAGTAATACAGGTCTTGTCTATGCTAGTGATGGCTGGCAGTCAACTTCAAGACACTTCAGGAAGGGGGCTGCTCATTGGAAAGACCAAGGCAGGATTAGAGGGTTGGAATTTAGAGCCTCATTCCCATCTCTGAGGTGGGGAGAGGGGCTGAAGGTTAAGTTGATCACAAATGGCCAATGATGTAATCAGTCATGCCTATGTAATGAAGCCTCCATAAAACTCCAAAAGGATAGGGTTCAGGAAGCTTCTGAAGCTGAACCTGTGGAGGTTCCTTGAGGTGGAACACCTGGGGATGTCATGGAAGCTCCATGCCCCTTCCCCCATATCTCATCCTGTGCATCTTTTCATCTGTATTCTTTGTGATATCCTCTATAATAAACCGGAAAACTTAAGCGTTTCCTTGAGTTCTGTGAGCCGTCCTCTCGAGTTAATCAAACCCAACGTGGAGATTGTGGAAACCCCAATTTATAGCCGATTGGACAGAAGTATACATAACAACTTGTGATTGGCATCTGAAGTTGGGGGCAGTCTTGTGGGGCTGCTCACTCAACCTGTGGGCTCAGATGCTATCTCCAGGTACAGAGTGTCAGAACTGAATTGAATTAGAGGACATCTAGCTGGTAACTGCTGCAGAACTGATTGCTTGCTTGATGTGTGGGGGAAAACCCACACACATCTGGTGTCGGAAGCATGTTGCAAGAGTATAATGGGATAAACTGAGTTCGTTTATTTCTATGTCATCAGAATCGTGCTTTCAAGTTAAATTTTCAAAACCCATATCTCACGTTTTCAAGATAAACAATAACTAGTCCTCAAGTAAGAGGGCTTAACAACACTTTTATCAAACATAGTTCATCCTAACTTTATCGTGGTGATTGGGGAGACCACTGCTTTAGCTAATTGGCTTTTATGGTGTGTGTGGGTGGGGGCAGAAACAAACTTCTCATATTTTTGGTTTTGCATATTGGAGCAGGCAAGGTGCCCACGGAAGTTAGGCTTTTACCCTCCCAGGGGACCAGGGAGACAGACAACTTCCTTGACCTTTGTTTGCATTTCACAAAGATGGCTCAACCGTGAAGTCTCAGGCCCAACTCTAAAGTTTCTTTTTTTTTTTTTTTTGACCGATAAGGGGATTGGTAACCCTTGGCTTGGTGCCATCTGCACTACGCTCAGCCAGTGAGTGCACCGGCCATCCCTATATAGGATCCGAATCCGCGGCCTCAGCGCTGTCAGCTCCGCACTCTCCCGAGTAAGACACGAGGCCGGCCCAACTCTGCAGTTACTAGAAGAAATTCCCAGTGCCCCATCCTTCGGGGCGTAGGTTTAGGGCTCGAGGACTACAACTCCCAGAATGCCTCGTTTAACCAACCAGGAAGATGGTTCTCCTCAATCCGGGTCCGGAAGAGGTTTGTTAGCATAGAGGAAGCCCGGCCAATGGGTGAGCCGGACAGGATCGAAAACCAAGCTGATAGCGCCGAATTGATTGGAAATCTTTGGCGCCTAGGTTTCAGAGGCGGGTGCGTGATGGGCGGGTGCAATGACCAATGAGAAGGAGGGGAGGTGGATCCAGGGCGTGTGGGCGGGGAGAGGTGCTGACTAGCAGGCTGTTCGCCCAATGAACTGAGGAAGTCGCTGGGGAGGGGGGCGGGGGCCGGGCGAGGCGAGTAGAGGCGGACTTGTGTGGTGGCCGAGTGTGTGCCATGGCGGAGCCGGTCCCGACGCCCCGGGGCGGCGGCGTCCGCAGAGGAGCCCGGGGGGCCCGAGGCGGCCGGGGCCGGCGTCCTCGCTCCCAGCGGTCTCCAGCCCGGCGCACTGTGGACTCGGTGCTGGTGGACTTGGTCAGCGATAGCGATGAGGATGTCCTAGAGGTCGCAACTCCGCGCACTGCTGCGGACCCGGTTGCAGTCCCTACCCCCAGCCTCCCCGTGCCGGCCGCGCCCCGGGACGACAGCGACAGCGACAGCGAAGGGGCGGACGCAAGGCCCACAGAAGCCCCGCGGGTCGCGGTCAGGCGGCGGCGGCGGCTGTTGCTGGATCCAGGGGAGGCACCGGTGGTTCCAGTGTACTCCGGGAAGGTGCAGCCAGGTCCCCGGGAGCTCCAGCGCCGAAGGGCTGAAGGGCCGGGTGCTTGGGCGACCAGAGAGGGGCCAGGGGTTCGGGGAGCAGCTCTGTTTAGGGAGTGCTGAGGCTAGGGTTCTGGGGTTGGTCTTGGGCGGCTAAACGGAAGCCAGGAGCTAGGGTGTTGGAGACCGAGAGGTGCAGGGCTCCTGGGGCTTCTGCAGACTGGGGAGTGAAGGGGTTTGGGGTATGATGGGAGTTTGGGATTCCCGGAAGCTGTAGTCTTGGGGGCATAGAGAGGCTGAGGGGCTGAGGTCCCTGAGGGTTCAGAGAAGGGCTGAAGAATCTGGGACTGGGATTTGGGGCATGTTGGATTTTAAGGTCCGGGCCCATAGATAGGAAGCCAGGGAGGTGGAGTATTGGGAGCTGGGGTCCACGGAGTTTCAGAGACTGGAGTCCCCAGGTGGTAGGTTGAACTAGGGGGCTGGGATTCCCTCGGAGTCTAGGGTAGAGGGATGGCTAGCAGCTAGTTAAAAAGGAGAACTAAACCTGGATCTTTCGAGGGGAAGGGTACTACAATTTTAGATCCTGGGAAAGCTGGACTCCTGGGTTCCTGGGAGAGAGCCATGGTATCCATATCCTTAGAGAGGACTTGAGAGCTGGGTGTCAGGGGAAGAATCATCCCCAGATTTCCCTTTTGAAGAGGGGCAACTTGGGACTGACCCTCCCACTTTTTATTCTTGCAGGTGAAAAGCAGTCTCCACCTCATCCCAGATGACCTATCCCTCCTGAAACTCTACCCCCCAGGAGCCGAGGAAGGTAAGGGAGGGCTTCCAGGGAGAGGAAGCCCAGCGCTGGCTTCTCTGAGAACACTTCCTGGAGTTTACATCCCTGCAGTCACTTGTCTCCTGAGGAAGGAGAGGGGGAAGCGCTTAGGAGAGGGGAGTCCGGGGTCCTAGCTAGAAAAAGGCTCCAGTCCTGAAAAGAGTTGGATTGTTAACCAGAAGGCACAGGAGCCGACTTAGGAAGTGCTGTCAGATCACCCTTCTCCCAACTCTAATAGGCCTAAGAGTGAGTTAATTTACAGATTTCCAGGCGCCACCCCCGGAGATTCTGATTCTGTAATCCTGAGGGGCATGGGAGGGGGAGGTGCTGAGAATCTGTGATATCTCGTTACATATGCAACAAGTTCAGTAGGAACACTCTAGAGGCAGCAGGGTGTTCTTTGAATCTTATCAGGGCTGGCCCGTCTTTGTTCTCCCCCAGTGATGTGATTTTTGCAACCCCCCCACAACAGCAGTGAATAGGAGTCAAGTCTAATAAGGAAGGGATTCCGTGGGCAAATGCAGACCTTGGACCAAGACTTCTGTACTGCGAGGGAGTTTGGTAGAGCGATTAAGAGCAGACTTAGGAGCCATCTGGCCTGGCTTTGAATCCCAGCTCTCCCCTTATTAGCTGTGTGAGTTGGGCAAGTTACTTATCTCTCAATGCTTTACTTTTCTCATAAGGAAAATGGGGATTATAGTGGACTTATGTCATAGGATTTGGTGAGAATTAATTAAAGCGAATATATAGAGCTGTCTCTTAGCTATGTACTGTACGTAGATTGGGACAGTTTCTCGAACACAGAAGTGCTATGTAAAAGGTACCTCCATTCTTGCTACACAAAATATGGGCTCAGAAGTGTTGGGCATGTCCCGTGGGAGCTTGTTAGAAATGCAGAATCTCAGGCCTCTGGCAGCTACCATATTTAGCTAGGAGAGGATTTCTGAACCTCAGCATTACTGACATTTTGGACTGGGAAATTCTGTGTTGTCAGGGGCTGTCCTGTGCATTGTAGAAAGATTAGCAGCATCCTGACCTCTATCCACTAGATGCCAGTAGCACACCCCAACCCCTCCCCCTCTGCATTGTGACAACCAAAATTGTCTCCAGACATCGCCACATGTCCCCCTGGGAGGCAAAATGGCCCCTGGTTGAGAACCACTGATCTAGGGTTTATCATTGCTTTATTTTCACAGTATTTACTTTTATGGTTTATGATGATCTTTTATTGGTGGCAAGCAGATGGAAAAAAGCTTCTATATTCTAGAATACTACCTGGTTCTGTTTCATAAGAAATTTAAGTTAAAATGAGTGATGTAAAGAAAAATATTAAACAACAATCATGTCCCTTGAGCACTTTCCCAGTGTTATTTCATGGTCCCACATGCAGGGGCTCTGTAGTCTCCTCCTTTCTGACCCCCTGCCCTCTCTTGGGTAACCCTCTCCCACTTTCTCCTCTGCCCACAGAGGAGGATATGGCAGATCCTAGCCGTGTCCACCACGAAGATCCCTCATTTCCAGACTGTCCCTGGAAGAAGAGGCTGAGGAGTAAGGACAAAGAAGAAAAGAAGGAAAAGGTGTTTCTGTGAGTGTGGCCAGGGCACTCGGGCTCTAGGAGCAGGAAGGGAGTCAGAGGGGTAAGCTGAGGCAGGTGGGACTCTTGGGTGGCTCCTGAAAGGGTAAAGAAAAGGGATGGAAGGAGTCTTGAGGCTCAGTGGGGAGGAAGCTCTTTGGAGAAGAGGTGGCCTACCCTGGAGGATGACAGCAGACCCTTCAGGACCACTCATGGTGGTGTGGTGACGGGTGAGCTCACACCCCCCAGCACCCTGCCCTGTCTTCTCTGTGCTTCTCTTTTCCTCTTCTGTAAGGCGGAGATAGCAGTGGTACTGTTAGGACTGTCACGTAGATAGGAGTTAACTTTTTTTTTTTTTTCCTTTTTGTCTTTTTTCGTGTCTGGCAATGGATCGCAACCCTCAGTGTTGCGCCCGTACCGGACCGGGACCGGCAAACGGGATCGCAACCCTCGGTGTTGCGCCCACACCTCGCTCAGCCAGTGAGCGGGAACTGGTCTGTATGTGGGATCCGAACCCTTGGCGGGAGCGCCGCCGCGCTCCCAAGCAGCGCACTGTAGCAGTGCACCACCGGGCCGGCCCCGATAGGAGTTAACTTTTGATATGTAGTAAGTGCTTGGCGTCTGTTGGATGTTATCAGACATTTACCTGGGAAGTGACTTTTATTTTTTGATGGCTGGCTGAACAGTAAGGGGAACCAAACACTTGACCTTGGTGTTACAAGGTTGCACCCTAACCAACTGAGCTAACCAGCCAGCCCTTGACTTATCTTAAAAGTGAGGCGTGTTCCCAATATTGGGGCCAGGTAAATAGAAAAATGATGTCTCAGGTTTCCCTGTCCCTTACCTACTCGTCTTCCGGTAAAATGAGTGTTACTGGAAAGTGCCCCCTGTTATTCTGTAGCTCCCCCCCTGGTTCCTGGATGACCACAGCCTGTGAAGCGAGGCGTGGGGCTGGGGTCTCTGCCTCGCCTTCAACCTGCTCTTCTCTTCTCCCTATAGGAGAACCTCTCCTTTGCACCCACCTCCCTCCAGGACCAAAAGCAGGAAGCATACCCGGGCACTGCGGAAGTTAAGGTGCCAACGGCAGAGGGCTCTGGCTGGGGTGGAGAGGGGCAATCTGGGAGGGTGGCCAACCCCGGCTGACCCAAAGTGCTGTCTGCATCCCAGGGAGGTGAACAGGCGCCTCCAACACCTCCGTTCCTGCCTGAGCCCCCAGCAGCACCACGGTCAAGACCACCAGAGCCAAGAGGATGAGGTGGTCCTAGTGGAGGGGCCCCTCCTCCCAGCGAGCCCCCGACTCTTCCCACTCAAAATCCGGTGCCGGGCTGACCTGGTCAGATTGCCCGTTAGAATGGTAAGTGCCTGAGGACATGTGGGAAAAGGACCCTGGAGCTGCCTTTGGCGGGACTGTGGCGGCCTGCAGGGTTGCACTGGCAGAAGGGACCTGTCTTCCTTTGCCTCTCCTGCTCTCTGGAGCCGCCCACCCCTCTTTCAGCCCTTCATACTGGGGCACTTGCCTCTGTCTGTATTTTTTCTCACTCTCCATTCTCTTTCTGGCAAATCTGTGACCCATTCTTCAAGGCTCTATGGAGCATCCTGTCTTTGAGGAAACTTTTTTTGGTATCCCTCCTCAGGGTGAGCCCCTCCTGCTTTCCTCCCCTGCTTCCCTCTAGCACTTGCTCTTGCTGCACTGGACACAGCAGGTGTCACTCGATCACCCTGAGCTCCCCCAGCTTCCTGGTGAAGGCTGGTATTTCATACAGATGGCCCTGGTTCAACACCAGGAATGATGACAGAAGTGACCATTTATTGAGCACTAACCATGCTTCAGCCAAGCAGCTAAGCAGAGACAGCCCATGGCCTTATCAACAGTGCACCTGCTTCCTTTGCCCTGTGGAGTGCTCTTAGAGTATATGAGTTTGTTGCCAACGTTTGCAATGGGTGATTTCCTACAAAAGTCTCGATTTCTGGTTTCTCTTAAAAATAGGAAGGTGTAGTCACACTGGCCCATGGTCCCGCATGGTGCCAATCAGCTGGAGCTGCGTGACAGCCAGCCGTTTTGATTTGGGGTGTGTGAACTCTGGTCTGCTGCAGCCCCACCATTCCCTTTTCCTCCTAACCCGTGGCCACTTCATTTCTCTGTTACTTGCCTGAACCCCTTACTAACACGATTTTATTTTGTACCTGGCCAGATAAATATGATGAAACTCACAGCTGAGGAGGTCAGCAAGTAGCTAGGGCCAGGACTTGTGTTTGGCATGGTGGGGGTGGGGTGGGGAGTATTAAGGCAGGAGGGTCTCCTTTACCTCTGTCCCCATCCCCAGTCGGAGCCCCTACAGAGCGTGGTGGACCACATGGCCACCCATCTGGGGGTGTCCCCAAGCAGGATCCTATTGCTCTTTGGAGAGACAGAGCTGTCCCCTACTGCCACCCCCAGGACCCTAAAGCTTGGAGTGGCCGACATCATTGGTGAGAGGGAAGGCAGGGAGGTGGGGCCTTGAAGAGGCTTTTGTCACGGGAAGGGGATGTGGGAAAAGGTCCAGAATGGGCCCAGCTTCCAGCCCCCAACTTAGGCCAAGCTTCCCGATCCTTCCTCCCACAGACTGTGTGGTGCTAGCAAGTTCTTCGGAGGCCACAGAGACGTCCCAACAGCTCCAGCTCCGGGTACAGGGGAGAGAGAAACACCAGATGCTGGAGGTCTCGCTGTCTCAGGTGAGTGGGGACGTGGCTGTCCATGCTCCTCCCCCTCCCTCTGCCACCTCTTGTCAGTTAATGGAGGATGGATTCCTCCTAATCCCAACTCGCTGGGGAAACTGCCCTCCGTCTTCTTGGGTTCCAACCTCCAACATAGCAGAAAAAGCCCACTGTTCACCCTCCCTCCCTACTTCTGCTAGGAACCTCATCTCTAGTCCATGTGTCCCCTTGGTGTCCTGACTCCATGTTCTGGTTAAAATGGAAAGGACCCTTGGACAGAAACCAATGCAACCCATTAAAATAACAAAGCCACACTTCTTTTTTTTTTTAATAGTGTCTCGTGCAATGTTATTCATTTATTTATTTGTTTGAAGGCTGGCTGGTACTGGGGATCTGAACCCTAGACCTTGGTGTTATAACACTGTGCTCTAACCAAGTGAGCTAATTGGCCAGGCACCTAAAGCCACTCTTCTAAGTGCCAATCCCCGTGCTGAGGTTAGTTACTTCACATTCAGGATAATATTTAATTTCACAACAGTCTTATGTGGTAAGGCACTGTTATTACCCTCATTTAACAAATAGGGAAGCCGAGGTCGAGAGAGAGAGAGTAGCTTGCTGTGTTAGTTTCTTATGGCAACTGTGACAAACAACACAAACTGGGTTGCTTAAAGCAACAGAATCTGTTCTCTTGTAGTTCTGGAGGCTAGAAGTCCAAGATCAAGGTGTCAAGCCGTGCTCCCACTAAGACTCTGGGTATATTCTTTCCTTGCCTCTTTCTAGCTTCTGAAGGTGGCCAGACTTCCTTGGCTTACAGCTATATTACTACAATCTCCACCTCTATCATTACATGGTATTCTCCCTGTGTGTCTCTGTGTCTCTGTTTTCTCATAAGGACATAAGTCATATAGGACTAGCATCCACCCTAATCAAGTATGCTCTCATCTTGACTTGATTACATCTGCAAAGGCCTTACTTCCAAATGAGGTCACACGCACATTTACCAGGGATTAGGACCACAAGGTATCTTATTGGACGGACACAATTCTAGCCATAACAGTCTGCCCTCTAGTCCCTCAAAATTCATGTCCTTCTCATATATAATATGAGAAAATATTCATCCCATTCCAATATCTGTAAAAGTCTCGACCCATTCCAGCATCAACTTTAAGTCCAAAATCTCATCTAAATATAATCAACTCAAAAAGTTCCAATCTTATCTTCTATTTTTTTTTTTTTTTTCTTAAAAGATGACCGGTAAGGGGATCTTAATCCTTGACTTGGTGTTGTCAGCACCACGCTCACCCAGTGAGCAAACCGGCCATCCCTATATGGGATCTGAACCCGTGGCCTTGGTGTTATCAGCACCGCACTCTCCCGAGTGAGCCACGGGCTGGCCCCAATCTTATCTTCTAAATCATCTAAATCAGTTGTAGGTGAGACTCAGTATAGCATCCTGAAACAAAATTCTGCTCCGTTTGCGGACCTGTAAAATCTAGAAAACAAGTTATCTGCTTCCAAAATACAACAATGGAACAGGCATAAGATAGACATTCCCAGTTCCAAAAGGGAGAAATCAGAAGGAAAAAAGGAATCACAGTGCCCAAGCAAGTCCAAATCCCAGCAGGACAAATTCCATTAGATTTCAAGGCTTAAGAATAATCTTCTAGGGGGCCGGCCTGTGGCTCACTCGGTAGAGTGCGGTGCTGATAACACCAAGGCCACGGGTTCGGATCCCATATAGGGATGGCCGGTTCGCTCACTGTCTGAGCGTGGTGCTGACAACACCAAGTCGAGTGTTAAGATCCCCTTACCGGTCATCTTTTAAAAAAAAAAAGAATAATCTTCTAGGGCTGTATGCTCTGTCCTCTCTGCCCATCAAGGTGGTGGCCCTACTTTCTTGTCCCAGGGAGGTTTTGTTAGCTCTGCTCTGAGTCATTTTTCCTTCATTTCATCCTGTCTCTGTTCTTTTCAGTCCAGGTGGACCGTGTTTCTACTGGTATAAAATTCTTGAAAATCTTGCTGGTCTTCTGTGGCTATCAAGAAGATCTGCATCATTAGATACAAGGGTTCTGTACAGATGAATTTCTAACTTCTGCTGAGATGATTGATTGGACCCATAAATCACATGTCTAATCTCCTTAGCAAATGGTTGTCTAGTTACACTCTTGGCCCTGTTTCCAGAGCATACTATCTGGATAGGCTGAGAATGTTCCAGATGACCAAGTGCTGGCTCCTTTTTGCTTAATGTCCTTCCTTCACTTATTTCTTCCTCTTGCATTTTACAATAACAGAAAAGAGAAATCAGGCCACACTTTCCACGTTACCTGGAAATCTCAGCTAGAAATAAGTTCATCACTTACAAGTTCTGTTTTCTGCCACCGAGCAGTAGAACATAATTCAGCCAAGTTCTCTGCTACTTTATAAAAGGATCACCTTTATTCCAGTTTCCGATAAGACATTCCTCATTTCTGTCAGAGACCTAACCAGAAGCACCTTTATTGTTTTATTTTTTATTTTTTGGTGGCTGGACAGTACAGGGATCTGAACCTGTAACTTCAGAATTATCAGCGCCATATTCTAACCAAGTTAGCTAACCATCCAGACCCGGAAGCATCTTTAATGTTCATATTTCTAGCAGCCTTCTGTTTGTGACAGTATGTCTTCTCTCTCTCTCTTTTTTTTTGGTGGCTGGCTGGTACAGGGATCTGAACCCTTCACCTTGGGTGTTACAACACTGTGCTCTAACCAACCGAGCCAACCAACCAGCCCATGTATGTTCACTTAAGATGACAGAAGCTTTCTCTGCAGCTCTCTTCTTTGTGAGCCCTCGTCAGAATTGCCTTAATGTCTATATTTCTACCGACAGTCTCTTCAAGGCAATCTAGGCATTTTTTAGCATGCACCCCCAAATTCTTCCAGCCTCTGTCCATTTCCAAAGCCACAGCACATTTTAGGCATTTATTATAATAGCACCCCACTTCTGTATTATGGCTACTGTAAGAAAGTACCACAAACCAGGTGGCTTAAAACAACAGAAATTTATTCTCTCTCAGTTCTAGAAGCTAGAAATCTGAAATCAAGGTGTCAGCAGGGTCATCGTCCCTCTGAGACTCTGAGTAGGATCCTTCCTTGTCTCTTTCTAGCTTCTGATGGTGGCTGGCAATCCTTGGCATTCCTTGGCTAGCAGCTGCCATCACTCCAGTCTGCCTCTGTCATCACATGGCATTTTCCCCATGTGTCTTTGTGTCTCATTTTATAAGGACACTGCATTAGTGCCTATCCTAATCGAGTGCAACATTGTCCTGATAACATCTGCAAAGGCCCTATTTCCAAATAACCAGGAGTTAGGACCACAAGGTATCTTTTCTGGGAGACGCAATTCAACCCATAACACTTATCTAAGTCACACACCTAGTAAGGGGAGAACCTGGCCTCCAGCTCGGATCATCCTCCATCAACAATCTGGGCTCTCTTAACCATTGTGATACATATTTCCATTTTGTGGGTGAGGCAACTAGGCTTGTGGACCTTTCCTAACCCAGAGCCCACACCTCCAAGTCTTGAGCTCTGTGGCCCCCACTTTCTACCTGAGGAACATATGGCCCAGAGGGAGGAAGGGACTTGTCCCGGTTCCCAGAGAGGGACCCAGCTATGCTGGCTTCTTTGTCCACTCACCTTCTCCACTGTGGGCTGTGACTTTACTGATTTGGCCCCGTGTCCTCCCTGTCCCAAGTGGTCTGTCCATCCCTACAGGAACTAGCCAGCCCCTCCTTTCCAATCCTTACACCCATCTTTTTCCCCTCTATCCAGGATTCTCCTCTCAAGACACTCATGACCCGCTATGAGGAGGCCATGGGACTCTCAGGACACAAACTCTCCTTCTTCTTTGATGGGACAAAGCTCTCAGGCAAGGAGCTGCCGGCTGATCTGGGCATGGAATCTGGGGACCTCATTGAGGTCTGGGGCTGAAACCCCACTCCCTGTTTGGAGGCCCAGCCTGGACTTGGAGAGAATGTCTCCCCTTTTTTGCCTCAAAGGCTAGCAGATACTAAGCTAGAACTTATCTTTAAACCGAAGCAAAATGAAGGAGTGACCTTTGATCCCCTCTTCTGTTGATCCTGGTTTCAAGCCATTAACTACTTGGCGTGGTGGTTGTTGCTGCCCTGGGTGGCCTGTGGCTCCATCCACATGGCTGGGTTTGCAGCCCCTTTGACATGGAAAAGGTGTGTCCCACTCCCCACTCCCTTCCACCTCCATCATCACCCTTTCCTCAATGAAATTTCTGTTCTGTGAAGCTTTGCTTGTGTTTAAAGAGCGACTTGAAATAGATAAGACTCGGGTATGGGCTTCTAGGCCTGGGAATTATGCCACGCCTAGGACCAGTAGTGGCCTTAGTCTCATTTGGGGGTTGGTTTCTTGTTTGTTTTTGTGGCAGGCCAGTATGGATCCGAAAAAATGTTTTTGTTTTCAGGGTTTTTTTTTTTTTTTTTTAATCATTTGGGGGTTGGGAGTGAAGTTCGCTTGAGGCACATACACTGGTGTGGTTCCCTGGCTGACAGGAATGTAAATGATCAAGCTCACACACACATTAGCTTACGCATAGGCAGACAACTGGGACACTCTGTTGAAGGATAAAGGTAGTGGGTTCTTAGCCCTGGGAGTCTTCCTCACCCCGAGGACACTTTATAACCACACTCTCTGGTACACACCTCCTGGTGCATACACCTAAGACATAACTGAGCACATTCAGGCGTTCCGTTTTGGATCTCGGGAATGCAGTCCCACGCAAGGATTCTATAGTTTTATGGTTTTCCCCTTCTTCACACTGTCTTCTCCCATAAGCACACAAACAAATATTTTATTCCATGTCTTTGAATATGAATGTATCCTTGGAAGATGCAATGTTTCCAGTGTGAATATGCTTTTACTGTACATGAGCGATAGTGTGCAATAGATCTTACACTGTTTTCACTCACTATCTGTAAGATCTGGCCCCATTGCTAGTTCTAGACCTGAGCTGTTACTTGGAACTGCTGCGTGGTGCCCCACGGTGGCATCAATTGCATTTTACTTAGACATTGGCCTTAAGAGGTGGACACCTGGTGCCTCCAACTCCTCAGCACCGGATACAAGGCCACGATAAACATTCTTTTATGTGTCCCCTTCTGTGCTGGTGTGAAATTCTCTGACACATGTACCCAGGATGAGATTATGAGTCATATGCATTAATTTCTCTGTGGTTTTCCAGATTTTTCTTTGGAATGTTGATTGACTCTCCCACTTGAGGCTTCCCATTTCTCATCCTCACCAGATCTTGGGATTGCCCAACTTTCTAATTTTTGCCAGTCTGATGGGTATAAAGTGGCACTGTGTTTTAATGTACATTCATCTGATCACCATTAATTCTGGGAAAATTTTCACATACCTGTCAACCTTTCTGGTTTCTCTTTCTGTGAATTGCTCATTTTCTCATAGGGGCTTCCTGTCTTTATTGGTTTATTCTCAGGAGTTGCTTGTATTCCTGGGCAATTGCCAGTAACTCTCAAAATGGTACTTTGTCTCTAGGGGTATCCTTCACTAAACAGACATTCTTAATTCTTTTTTTCTTTTGCTCTTTTTTTCATTTCTTTTTTTATGTTTTTTTCTTATTCTTTTTTTTGATATTTTAAATTTTAATGTAGATGAATTAACTGTTTTGTCATAAAGTTTGTTGCTCTTGATTTCTTCTTTAAAAATAGTTAAGATATTTTACATTTTCTTCTGTTAGCTCACTGTTTTTTGTTTTTCATACTGAGGCCACTAAATAGGGCTGAAGTCCAGCCCATACCCCTGTTGTGGTGCCTTGGCTGGCATCTGTTCCGAGTGGTCACACACACTTGTTCTGATTCGCTGATGCCAGGCTGTACTGGTTGCTAAGTATCAACATAATTTTAAAACTATTTGAAATGCATTGTTATATATGAATCTAAGTTTTATATTTTACCATATAAAGAGGCAGTTTTCTCAGTACTGTCTACTAATAAAGCCATTAATCTTCCACTGATACATGGTATAATTTTAGCAAAAGCATGTCAACTTCTTAAAACTTTTTTTTTTGGAAAGTGGCATTCCCTTGAGTTTTATAACATTTAAATAATCTATGATATGGTATAGCTCTCCATTTTTTTTTTAAAAGATGACCGGTAAGGGGATCTTAACCCTTGACTTGGTGTTGTCAGCACCACGCTCAGCCAGTGAGCAACCGGCCATCCCTATGTGGGATCCGAACCCGGGGCCTTGGTGTTATCAGCACCGCACTCTCCCGAGTGAGCCACGGGCCGGCCCCCATAGCTCTCCATTTTTATCAGATCATTTATGTCCATTAATAAGTTTGAAAACATTTCAATTATATGTTCAGTCTCAACAGAATAAATGGGAATACATTCAACTTGTACATACTTGAGGATTCCTGTCTTTGTGGCCCTCACGTCACCCCCACTAAGGTCCTTGGTGACAGAGACCATTAGTTATTCCCTCATATCCGTACTTTCTCCTTCCAGGGTATTAGAACCCATGGTTTTTAGTGAAACACAGAGATACAGAATAAAGATAGTGTACAAATCCAAAACCCAAAGTGCTCCAAAATCTGAATCTTTCTGAGTGTCAACATGAAGCCATAAGTGGAAAATTCCACACCTTCTTTCTGATGGTTCAATGTATGTAAACTTTTTTTTTTTTGGCGGCTGGCTGGTACAGGGATCTGAACTCTTGACCTTGGTGTTATCAACACCGCTCTCTAACCAACTGAGCTAACCAGCCAGCTCTACACAAACTTTATTTCGTGCACAAAATTATTAAAAATAATGTATAAAATTACCTTTAGGCTAGTTGAATAAAGCATATATGAAACAAATGAATTTTGTGTTTAGACTTGGATCCCATCCCAAAGAATCTCATTATGTATACGCAAATGTGCCAAAATCTGAAAAAAATCCAAAATCTGGAACACTTCTGGTTGAAAGCATTTCAGATGTGGGATACCCAGCCTGTACTTCCCAGCCTCTATGGCAGCTAGATCTGGCCAAGTGCCAATTCAGGCTCCTGGGGTTTAAGTGGAAGAGAGGTGTCACCTCTAGGAATTGTCCATAGGGGGCAGTGTGTCCCCCTCCTTTGCTTGCTTCGTGCCTGGTGATAGGAACAGCCTCGTTGACATGAAGTGTACCTCCAGAATGGAAGCCACGTGGGGCAGGACAGCAAGAGAAGGAGGCTGCGTCTCAGCCTCCACATAGTGCCTGACCAGCCCCGCACTGCAGACCTCTGGGCTTCTTCGTGAAACAGGAAACTGTCTTGCTTAAATACACTATTACTTTAGGATTTCTGTTGCTTGTAACCACACCCAGTTTTAACCCCCGGTGAGATTTTTCTTGAGATTTATATCCAGGAGCGGAATCACTAGTCACTAGTTGAATACGCACTTACTCAGCTTCTCTCGAATACTGTTAGCTTGCTAACCAGAGTGGCTGGACCTCTTTATAAGTCCATTAGCAAGAGCTGGAAGATTCCAGCTCTTGCTTGTCATCCCCAGCACTTAGTCTAGGGAGGGTATGGGAGGGACTACTTATTGTAAAAGATTTTGCATTTCTTCTATGTTGAGAGAGATCATTCCATCTCTTCACGTGTCTAAAAGACTTTTGTTGAGTGATCTTTCTAAAATTGTCCTGATTAGAGACCTTTGAAACTTTAGTGAGCCTTTACTCAGTGCCATATGCCAAGCTTGGCACTTTTCATAATCTCATTCATCCTCAGGGCCATCCTATGAGGTAGCTGGTGTTATTATTCCCTTCTTACAGAAGAGAAACAAGCTTAGAAAGATTCATTGACCTGCTCCAGACCACACTGCCACCCACTGCAGAGCCAGGTGTAAACACACATGGGCCTGACATAGGACTGAGAATTCTTTTTTTATTATTCTTTCTTTTTTGGCAGCCGGCCGGCACAGGGATCCGATCCCTTGACCTTGGTGTTTGTTACAAGGTTGTGCTAACCAACTGAGCTAACTGGCCTGCCCAGGACTAAGCATTCTTGAGGAGACTGGTGATTCTTAGATTTTTACAAGCACAGAATCATCAGGGGATCAGCAGCTCTGCGGTGGGGCTGAGATGTCACAATTCTAAGAAGCTCCCAGGTGATGTGACATTGCTGACCACTCTGGGTGCAGCAGGATATCATTTTGCCGTTTTTCTGTATACAGTACTTTTAAAACCTCCCATCTCCCCACCCCTCCAACACAGGGGTCGGTTCCTCTATAAAGCCTCTCATAGGACTGGTCACAGCTCTTGTGTGTCCCACCTCAGTGGGGAGCAGGGGACTAGCTCAGCACACCATCCACTTTGCTCCCCTGCTGGACTGTAAGCTCCCTGAGGACACTTTATCTTGTTCTTCTTGGAGATCTCCAGCTCAGTGTCTGCAGTTAGCTAACAAATGTTTGTCAAATGAATGATCAAGCCCCGCCTCAAAGAATCTTACTACTATCCATCTCATTGCACAAGCCAGAGAAGTTTCCCTCTTGATACTCCTTCATCCCCCATTCCCACTCCAACACTAAACCAACCCAACTGCCCCAGCTCACTCTCAAATCTGCTCACTTCTGTCCCTCTCCGTCCCATCCTGGTCCAAGGCACCACTGCCTACAGCCTCGTCTAATGCCACATCCCTCTGGCTCCCTCTAGTACGCCTTCTGGGCTGCAGCCAGAGCAAATCTCAAATGCAATCTTTTCCTCCTCATCTGAGCTCAAGGACCAGTTAATCAGAGAAGTTTTCAACCTCCCCGACCAGATCACGTCCTTCTCTCTCTCTTTTTTTTTTTTAAAGATGACCGGTAAGGGGATCTTAACCCTCGACTTGGTGTTGTTAGCACCACGCTCACCCAGTGAGCGAACCGGCCATCCCTATATGGGATCCGAACCTGTGGCCTTAGTGTTATCAGCACCACACTCTCCCGAGTGAGCCACGGGCCGGCCCTCGCGTCCTCCTCTTATCAGGTCTTTAAAATACCCATACGTGGAACTTCTCTTTTGGTGGCACTTGTCACAGGTGATCTTTTTTTTTTTTTTGAGAAATTTCATGTGTATTTAAATTTCATGAACCACAACTTCCACAACAAATAGAGCAGAAGTTGGACTCCTGTTTCAACTGATTACACCATATTTCTTTATCAGACCTTAAAGTAGCCCTTAAAGGAATTGTAATCGAGAGTTCTATGAAATTAAAAAATAAAAAAGAGATCTATGAAATTAAAAAGTACCTGTACTCAGAGAAGAGCTGAACATTTTTTTCCCTTTTGGCAAAACCAATTAGTGTTACAATATTTTCTTTGATAACCAGAAAGCTTTATTTTCATTAATGTCTAGTGGTATTGTATTTGGACTATAAGCTTTTTTTCTTTTTTTTTTAACTTATTAGAGTCTAATTTACATGCCTCAACATTTGCTCATTTTAAGCATACAGTTCAGTAAGTTTTAGCAGACGTAAAGTTGTGCAAAATTTTTCTCCTCTTTCCCTTGCCCCCAGGCAACCACTGATCTGCTTCTGTTATCTTTGCCTTTTCTAGATTTTCATATACATGGAATAATATAGTATACAATATTTTGTGTATACAATTTTCGTGTCTGGCTTCTTTCACTTAGCATGTTTTTGAGATTTATCCATACTGTATCAGTAATTCATTCCTTTTTCTAAGTAGTTTTCCATGGTGTATACTATTCATCTGTTGATAGGTGAGGTTTCTTTCCTGATTAAAAAAATTTTTTTTGACTATTATGAATAAAGCTTCTATAAACATTCATACACAGGGTTTTGTTTGGATGTGTTTTCATTTCTCGTCGGATAGCTAGGACTGCAATTGCTGGGTCATATGAAAAGTGTATATTTAGGGCCGGCCTGTGGCTCACTCGGGAGAGTGTGGTGCTGATAACACCAAGGCCACAGGTTCGGATCCTATATAGGGATGGCTGGTTCGCTCACTGGGTGAGCGCGGTGTGGGTGACACCATACCAAGGGTTGCGATCCCCTTACTGGTCACGAAAAAAAAAAAAAAGTGTCTATTTAATTTTTAAAGAAATTGCCAAAGTGTTTTCCACAGTGGCTGTATCATTTGCATTTCTACTAACATTGTATGAGGGTTCCAGTTGCTCCACATCATTACCAGTACTTGGTATTGTCACTTTTAAGAAACTTTTTTTTTAGCTAGTCTCATATAGTGATATCTTATTGTGGTTTTAATTTGTATTTTCCATAATGACTAATGATATCATATCTTTGTTGGCCATTGATATATCTTCTTTCATGAAATGTCTGCTCAAGTCTTTTGCCCATTTTTAAAATTGATTTTGTCGTATTATTGAGGTTTGGTTTATTTATTTATTTTTTTTGGCAGCTAGCCAGTGCAGGGATTGAACCCTGGAACTTCGTATATCAGAACCACTCTAACCAACTGAGCTCACCAGCAGCCTATTGAGTTTTAAGAGTTATTTATATATATATATCTTGATACAGTCCTTCAGCAAATATGTTTTGCAAATATTTTCTTCCAATTTGTGTTTTACTTTATCATTTCACAGGTGCAAAAAAAATTTTTTTGGGGGGGAGCAGCTGGCTGGTACAGGGATTGAACCCCGGACCTTGGTTTTATCAGCGCCATGTTCTAACCACTGACCTGACCAGCCAGCCCCTACAGGTGCAGTTTACATGTGTACTGATATCTGTCTCCTCCAGATAATCTCCATGAAAGAAGAGGCTAAGTGTTTTCGCATGGCACTTGGCAAAATGCCAAGCACTTCATAGATGCTCAGTAGTATTTTATTGAAAAATTAATTTTTTGTTGTTGAGGGAATTAAATGACTACAATCTGAAGTTCCTGTCCACCAGGGGAGACCAAGGTTAAGGTTCTGAAACGAGGTATCTCCTGGGGCAACTCCAATGAGGGGTATTCAGGACTCAAAATAGCTTCTAATAAGGCGTCTTGGGGGCCGCATGCTCTCTCCATGAGAGTTCAGAATTTCAGTAGAGGGACTTAGAGGTCTGGGTCTTGAAAGTGCATGTGCGTAAAACTATACTAATTTTACTTAGAGAGTATGTTTATTAGATGTAGCTTGGAGACTATGGGGGGCAGTAAAGAACCACTCCACGCTATCCTCTGGGGCCAGGGCTCTGTGGTCTGACTTTGACCCCAGTCCTGCAGCTCGGAAAGTGTCCTTAGGCGCGGAGTCCCTGCCTTCCCCGCATGAGACCACCGGGGGGGCAAGGGCTCCAGGCTCGGCTGGAGGAAGGACATCTCCAGCAGGGCGAGCGGGTCGCTGCCTTCGGTAGGTATTCAAGTGTCCCCAGTGAGGGCGCAGGGGCTTCCGAGGCTAGCTGGATTGGGGAACCGAACGGGAGGAAAGGGGGCCGCTGCTCCACCTGCATTCATTTAACATTTATTGAGCATGTGTGAAGCCACCAATCAGCCACTGTGAGAAAGCGACAATCAATGATCACCGAGAGCGAGAACTGGTCGTCAGCATTTCTAGAGATATTTACCATTTCCAGAACCGTTCGAAATCCCATTATCTCGTTTGATCCAGGAGGATGCCAAGTGGGAGTTCCAGATAAGGCCCTGAGGTTCGGAAAGCTTAAGCGACTCCGCCAAGTCACGGGGACGCCCGGCGGGAACGAGCCGCTGCGTTGCCACGGCGCCCGGCCAGCCGCGGCTTCAGGGTACAAGGTCTGGGACCGGGGTCCCTGGTTGCCACGGCGACCGGCCGGTGGTCACGTGCCGCGGGAGCCTGGGGAAATGCCAGAGAGGCTTCCGTAGGGAAGCGCCGGTCACGTGCCGAAGGCTTGCACGAGGCGACCCCTCGACCTCGGCTCCGGCGTCACATGACTCGCTCTCAGGCAACATGGCGGCCGCCGTGGTGCAGCGCCGAGGCTGAGCGACAGCGAGTAAGCGGGCTCCTGCCTGGGTGAGGGGCGGCCTCAACGTGGGAGGGGCATCCGGCTCCTCAACCCGCCCCTGTCCCTGACATCACCTGAGTTCCACACGTCCCCTCCGCGCGGTGTGTTTGCTGGGATGGGGAGGGCCCGCGTCCCTCCCAGCCGTGCTTCGTGCTTCGGGGAAAGCTCCTACCCACCTCTGGGCGCAGTTCCCTGGCCTGGGTTCCCTCCATCCTCCTTTCTCCAGCCTCCTCCCCTCGCAGGTGGGATCGTCAGTGCGACCGGAGCGCGGGCGGGCGCGGCCCCCCGGGACCATGGCCGGGTCCGATACCACGCCCTTCCTCAGCCAGGCGGATGACCCGGGCGACGGGCCGGTGCCCGGCATCCCGGGGGTGCCAGGGACCATGGGGAACCCGAAGTCCGGGGAGCCTGAGGTCCCGGACCAGGAGGGGCTGCAGCGCATCACGGGCTTGTCTGCGGGCCATTCGGCACTCATAGTGGCCGTGCTGTGCTACATCAACCTCCTGAACTACATGGACCGCTTCACGGTGGCCGGTAGGTACTGACTTCTGGGAGGAAGGTAGACAAGGGGAAGGGAGCGAGGTCTCTCGGGCGGCGCTGCCTCGCCGGCTGTAGCCTGAGTCTTCTCCCTCCCAGGCGTTCTTCCCGACATCGAGCAGTTCTTCAACATCGGAGACAGCAGCTCAGGACTCATCCAGACAGGTGAGTGGGAGCCCCTCCTGGTCACAAAACAGCTCTCTTTTTCTACCCCAGCTGGGACCACATGCTGTCCTGTTTGGGGTCTCATTAATGGGGGATTAGTGGTCAGAGCTAGGGGGGGGGTGATGGCCCTGATTTTGCTCTGGGGCTGTCCTGTTCAGCTAGGACACCACATTTAAAGAGAGAGTCAGTTTAGTTTAGTGATTAAGACAAACGAGTTTAAATCTCAGCTTTTAAACTTAACTGTGTGATGGTGGGCAAGGCACTGAACCTCTCTAAGCCTCGTTTTCCTGTCTACAGGATGGAACTAGTAATAACACAGATCGTCTTTTAGGACTGATGTGAGGATTAAATGAAGTAATGCCCGTGAAGTGCCTAGTGCAGTGTTTGGCACGTGGTAGGCCCTCAGTAAATAACGGCAGGAAAGGGTGTCTGGAATGGGGAGAGGTGAGTTTTACTTGTTCAGGACTTTGGGGCTTATGGGAGAGGCAAAGCCAGAGCCAAGTTCTCTTTTCCTTCCTTCCCTCCTTCATTTCTCAAACGTTTCTGAGCGCCTACTATGTGCCAGGCCCTAGAGGAACTGGTGATAACATCCACAGGACTTTGCCAAGACCTTTTATGCACATTGTCTTCTAATCCTTCCATCAGCCAAGGAATAGTGTTGTTATTCCTATTTTATAGAGGAAATAGATCGTGTTATCTATGTTCTAAAGAAACTGAGGCTTGGAGAGGAGTTAAGATTTGCCCAGGGTCACACAAGAAGTTAGAGGCAGAACAAGAATTTGAAACCAGGTCTCGCAGTGTTCTTTCCTCCACTCCAGGCTAATGAGGAACTGGAGGTATTTGAAGTGAAGTCTGGAGAAATGAGAATGGGATCACAGGTCAAACTCTTCCCACCTCTGAAGAGTTCTTGCCTTAGAGAAAAAGCAAATCTTTCTAGGCAGCTCCATTTATTCACTTTTTCATTCAATACATGTTTATTGAGCACCTGTTTTGTGTTAGGCTGTGTGTTCAGTGATAGAAGCACAGTTAGAGCCTATAGAGGCAAGGCCCTTGCCTTGACAGAGGTGACATTCTCCTATGCAAGAGGGGGCAATTGTCAGTAAAACCCCGAACTAAAAAGAGACAATTTTCCATAGGGATAAGTGTTTTGTAAAAGAAAACAGAGTAAGTGTGATAGACAGGGACTGGATGTGTGCTGGTCTGGGAGGGCGTCTGAGCCGGCACCTGAGGGAGCTGAGCTCCGTGAAGCTCAGGGAAGAGGAGAGAATGTACCAGATGGGACAGTGGGTGCCCAAACCCCTAAGATGATACTGACCTTAGCAACTGGGCCATTGGGATGCAGAGAGAGAAGGTGAAGGAGAATGGCCACGAGGTCAGAGAAGTAGGGAGGGGCTAGATCAGAGAGGGCACTGTGGACCATGGTTAGGAGTTCAGACTGTGTTCTTGGTGGGTGGGAGGAAGTGACAAGTCAGCTGGACCATCCATTCTACATCGGAAGGTTTGGAAAGATGTTGAAGTTGGGGCAGGACCATCCCCCTGGCAGGAAGCTCTGAAGGGTTTCAGGGTTGGGATGTGGGGATGGCGTGAAGGCAGTGTGAGAAGGGTGGGGATCTCTTACCCTTTAGTCATTCCTGCTCCAACCCCTCCAGCTGGGGTGGGGGTGGGAGGGTAGAGGCTAGGGGGTGCTGGGGCCGGGCTGTGACTCTCTGCTTCTCCCCAGTGTTCATCTCCAGTTACATGGTGTTGGCACCTGTGTTTGGCTACCTGGGTGACAGGTACAATCGGAAGTATCTCATGTGTGGGGGCATTGCCTTCTGGTCCTTGGTGACACTGGGATCATCCTTCATCCCCAGAGAGGTGAGGCCCCAAGCTGGCTCCTGCTTCTGGCCACTTTCATTCCTCCATCAATCTTTGCTGCTGCTCCTTGGAGTCCTTTCTGACTGGGCCGGGGGGACTTCTGCAGTTTCCTTGGTCCATGCCATCCTGTACCCCTCCTTGCCTGAGTTAACCTGCCCACCCCATCCTCTCCCTTTTTCTTCCTCCTTCTGTCCATCATCTCCTCTTCCTCTGACCATTGACTCCTTCCACTCCATACCTAAACATTCGTGTTTCTCTACTGAAAACCTTACCGGACTGCCCTCTGTCCCTCCTCCCCTTCCTGGTCAGACTTCCTGAAAGACCCCTGGTGCCAGTGTGGGGGAACGAGCAGCCGTGGGTGGGGGGTGGGGGCTCTCACTTGGCCTGCACTTCCTCCCCTCCTGCTCACCCTCAAGCACTGCCGCCAACCTCGACTCCTACCACGCCATTGAACCTTCTCTTGCCTAAGTCAGCAGTGACGTCCCACTTGCTAACTGCAGCTACGACTTCCTAGTCCTCTTCTTGCTTCTTGGGAACTCTGGCGCTATTGACCCACTTCCTCCTTCCCGAAACTCTCTTTTAACTTCTGGGGTGCCACGCTCTCCTGGTCTCTCTCCTGCCTCCCTGGCTGTTGCCTCTTTGCTCCTTTGAAATGTCCTTCAGTTGTTCTCACTCTGCCCCGGAACTCAGCCCCAAGCCCTACGTACTGCCCGTGATCGTACCCCGTCCTTAGCTTCAGGTGTCTTTGGTAGACAAACTCCCCACCTAAGATCATTATTTACCAATGGGGTGTGTAGGTGGAGTGAGCAAGGTAGATAAAGTAGGATTTACTTTGCACCTTCTGGGTACAAGGTAATAGACCTTTTATTACCCATTCCTCACAGTAGCTATGTGGACAAATGGTCATTATTCCCCTTTTCCAGATGATGAAACTGAGGCTCAGAGAGGTTAAGTTACTTTCCCAAAGTCACAGCTAGTCAGTGGTAGAGCCAGGATTCATGCCCAGTTTTGTCTGATTCAAAAACCCAGGCCTCTCCCGCCATCCCTGCTGCCTTTCTGGAGCCGGCTGGGAGGTAGCCTGGGAGCCTGGCTGCAAGGCAGGGTGCCACCTCTCCCATGTCTCGTTCTCCAGCGTTTCTGGCTGCTCCTCCTGACCCGAGGCCTGGTAGGGGTCGGGGAGGCCAGTTACTCCACCATCGCACCCACTCTCATTGCTGACCTCTTCGTGGCAGACCAGCGCAGTCGGATGCTCAGTGTGTTCTACTTTGCCATTCCAGTGGGCAGGTGAGCAGCCTTGGGCTTAGTGGGGAGGCAGAAGGGCCTGGCATGGGGGACTTGACTGACTTCTGTCCCCTCTCTTGTCCCTCCTCCTCCCCTAGTGGTCTGGGTTACATTGCAGGCTCCAAAGTGAAGGACATGGCAGGGGACTGGCACTGGGCTTTGAGGGTGAGTCTGGTCATGGCCTGGGGGAAGGTCAGCATCATTGTCACTGGTCCCCGCTTCCTAGCACCAGATAACCCTTTTTTGAGGCAGCCCTCACTCTGCTGAGCCTGCAGGAAGCCTGGCTGCCCCCACCATGAAGCCATGTGCTAGACAGAATTCTTGCTTGCAGATGATCGAAGCCCATTATAAAACTGTAAACCCCCAAAAGGGAGGTACTGGCTTTCATAATGCAAAGTCCCAGGGTGAGCTTCAGGTAAAGTGGATCCAGGGCTTGCGTCTGTCACAGGAATTTGATCATCCTCTTCTCAGCTTTACTTTCCTCTGTGTTAACTTTGATCTCAAGCATGTGGGAGCTCCAAATGATTACTTTTCCATTTAGAAACTTCGGTACCTTGGATCGTTAAGCAGTAACAGTCCTGGGAGAGGGTCAGATTCAGTGAATGTGGGTCACATGGCAACCATGGAATCCATCACCGAGGCTGGGATGGTTAACATTACTGTCATTGGCCAAGACTGGGATCCTGTTTGAACCATGTGGCTTGAGAGAAGTAGGGGCAGTGGTTTTCCAAAAGAAAATTAGGGTGCTGTTACCAAAGAGGAAGAAGTTAGGCTTCCAAAAATCAGGTGGTCCCTAGTGACACCTTTCTCCCCCAAACTGCAGGTTCAGCTTCCTTGAGTAGATACTTACCTGAGTCTCAGGGCCCTCACTCTCCCCCAGCCCCAGGGGTTGAGTGCGTCCCTGCCTGTGCCTGCCCTGAAGCCCACTCTTTCCCCAGGTGACACCAGGTCTAGGCGTGGTGGCTGTTCTGCTGCTGTTCCTGGTAGTACAGGAGCCACCGAGGGGAGCTGTGGAGCGTCAGTCAGATTCGCCACCCCTGAACCCCACCTCGTGGTGGGCAGATCTGAAGGCTCTGGCAAGAAAGTGAGTTTAGTCCCATCCTAGTCTGACATCTGAGGCCCCCAGGGTGGCCCTGACATCTGGTTTGAGATTTAAGTGGGCGTAGTCTTTGTTTTCTGCCTGCTGGCCACAGCATAGGCCAGTAATTTATTCACTACTGTCCCCTTGTGGCAGCTGCCTAAATTACAGGCCCAGATCCCTGATCCTGGGCACCAAGGACAGCCTCCACATGCAGTATGACCTTAAACCAGGAAGGGAGAAGAGAGGTCCCCTCGTCCCTCCACACCTCGGTGGAGTCTGACTTCTTCCCTCCCAACTCTCCGCAGTCCTAGTTTCATCCTGTCTTCCCTTGGCTTCACTGCTGTGGCTTTTGTCACGGGCTCCCTGGCTCTGTGGGCTCCTGCATTCCTGCTGCGCTCCCGTGTGGTCCTGGGGGAGACCCCACCCTGCCTTCCTGGAGACTCATGCTCTTCCTCTGACAGGTACCCAGATAGGGCTGGTCTGGGTAGCCTGCAGGTGGCAGGGTGTGGAGTGATGAGAATCTACAATTCAGACTCAGGCAAGGAAACTTTGAATCCCGATCCCACAAACTACATCCTCTCACAGAGTCTGTCTCGTAGTCTGGAAAATAGGTGATGGGATAACATCAGCCTCCAAGGCTTTGCAAACCATGGGCTGCTGGGCCTGGGTAGACCTGGGTTGTGAGGATAGCTGGATGGACCATCTTCCTCTTGGGGCCATGGGGGCTTTGAAGGCAGAAGGACTATCCCCCATGTCCCTTTCCCCACCCCAGTCTAATCTTCGGGCTCATCACCTGCCTGACGGGGGTCCTGGGTGTGGGACTGGGTGTGGAGATCAGCCGCCGCCTCCGCCGCTCCAACCCCCGGGCTGACCCACTGGTCTGTGCTGCTGGCCTCCTGGGCTCTGCACCCTTTCTCTTCCTGGCCCTTGCCTGCGCCCATGGTAGCATCGTGGCCACCTATGTGAGTAGCCAGTTGGGTGTCAAGGTGGGGGTTCTGGGTCCAGGGTGGAGGAACAGTGCACGGGGGCAGGACTGGGTTCAGCCAGCATAGCAACTAGAGTCAGAGCTGACTCAAGGTGGAAGCCTGGTTTTGAATATGGCTCTGGCCCTTGCCAGCTGTGTAACATAGGGCACGCAGCTCAACCTCTCTGTGCTCAGTTTTGTCATCTGTAAAATGGGAATAATAGTAGCACCTGTCTCAGGGTTGTGGTGAGGGTTAAATGAGTTAGTAGGTGAGCCTGGTGCATGGGAAACCCTCCATGTGTCTGCTCGCATTGTGATTAGACCCCCCACCCCTTCCATCCCCCAGATTTTCATCTTTATTGGAGAGACACTGCTGTCCATGAACTGGGCCATTGTGGCTGACATTCTGCTGGTGAGTGGCTGGGCAGCTCCAGGGTTAGCCCAGAGGCTCATGGGAGCAGGGATTGGGATCAGGAGACTTCCCTTGCTCGGAGTTGTGGCCTTTATCCCTTCTTCAAAACCCAGCCCTGGACTGACTTCTGAGTCCCACCGTGAGGGCCTCTAGTCAAGGCTGAGCCTTGGCACCATCCTGCTCTTTGCCTCCTGACCCTGGAGAGCCCCCGCTGAACTCCCACTCCCCCCAACCGCAGTACGTGGTGATCCCCACTCGACGTTCCACTGCTGAGGCCTTCCAGATCGTGCTGTCCCACCTACTGGGCGACGCTGGGAGCCCCTACCTCATTGGCCTGGTGAGAACTACCCCTTGGCTGGGATGGGGGTAGGGAGTGGGGGACCCTGCACTCCCAGCACCAGCCAATGCCCAGTGGCCTGAGGCTGGGCCGATCAGAAAGTTTGGCCCCAGTTAGATGTCCGTGCCCTTTGTGCCAGGTGCCGCTCACCTCAGATCCTCAGCTGGATGGGAAGGACTTTGTCTTTGAAGATTTCTGCCAGTGAGCCATGGATCTCACCCTGGTGGTCCAACCTGCCTTTACTTTCCCAGGCTCCGTGTTTCTTCTTTTTTCTGCAGTTCAGGGGTTCCCTCTCCTTGGGCCTCTCTTTGACTCTGTCTCCTGGCTTCCTCTCTCCTCTCCCCGCAGATCTCTGACCGCCTCCGCCGGAGCTGGCCCCCGTCCTTCTTGTCCGAGTTCCGGGCCTTGCAGTTCTCGCTCATGCTCTGCGCCTTCGTCGGGGCACTGGGCGGGGCAGCCTTCCTGGGCACCGCCATCTTCATTGAGGGCGATCGCCGGCGAGCCCAGCTGCACGTGCAGGGTCAGTTAGGGCCTGCTGCCTGTCTGTCCATCCATCTGTCTGCCCAGTCCTGTGCACCTGGCACCCCTCAGTCTACAGCTGTCTCCTCACTCAGCCTCGGGTCTGCCTGTCCAGCAGGCTGCTGCCTGCCTGCGTCCACAGCCCCACTGGCTCTCTGCTGCTGCCCTGTCACTTTCCACTGCCTGTGTGCCCGTCTCTGGCATTGTGTCTGTCTCTGTCCATCAGCCCTGGCTCTAACCCCTCTCCTCACAGGTCTATTGCATGAGGCAGAGCCCACAGATGACCGCATTGTGGTGCCCCAGCAGGGCCGCTCCACCCGGGTCCCCGTATCCAGTGTGCTCATCTGAGGGGCAGTCGCTCGCCTGTTTGCACGTCTACTGCAGCTGGCCCTGGTCCCAGCCCATGGGGTGCCCGGGCCTAACCCTTGGCCTGGCCCAGCTTCCAGGAGGGACCCTGGGCCATGTTCCAGCTCCCAGACACTACATGGGCACCCCAGGGGAGGAGGTGGGGTCCGGGAGGGGGATCCCCCTCCACTGGGGCAGCCCTTGGGGCTCGGTGCTATTTGTAACAATAAAATTTGTAGCCAGACACCACCTGCCTGCTTGAGTCTTTCTCTGGGTGCTAGTGACCTCTGACCTCTGGACTGCAGGAGATGCCCCGTCCCAGCCCCAGGGCTCCTGGAGACTGCTGGGTCACTCCTGTGGGGCCTCGGTGAGTCCCTGTCCTTCTGGGCTGGGTGACAGAGAGGGAGGACTGCTTTCCTTAGTGAGCTGGCTCGGTGTGACTGTGAGTCACACCCCTGATCCCCACCTCTTGGCATGCAGGCCTGGGTGAGGAGGGGTGGGCACTGCCCTCCACACCTCAAGAGTTCCTGCTGTTGGGGCCTCCCTGCCGGCTGCCTCCCTAGCCCATGGATGTGGGGCCGTGGCTGTGGCTGGCCTGTGGGACTCTTCCTCTCCCCTGTGTGAGTTGCCCCTTGTCCTGGAGACCAGCAGACCCTTCTTGAGAGCCTTGGGGGACTCCTCAGGCCTCCCCTACCTCCCTACTGGCTGGATGGGGGTGGGAAGGGGGCGGTGCAGCCGGCGAGGAGCCCGATGATTTCCTGCCCTCGCCGGGCGCTCACCACAGCTTCCTGCCACAGGCGGGTGGGCGCGGAGGAGAGGCGGGCACGAACGAGGGGCAGGTACGGCTGGGGCGCAGGGACTGCGCAGGGGTTGGCTGGGGCCTCAGACCCCAGCCAGGCCCTGGCCTGACTGTCCTGGGATCAAGGGGCTTCCAGAGCCAGCACTGACCCCCACTCAGCCCAGCAAGGGGGGGATCCAGGGAGCCCCCAACAAGGGTGCAGCTGCCTCCCACTGGGCTCCCAGCGTGGTGCCCTCTCAGCCCTGCACCCACGGGCCTGGCCATCGCCCTGCTGTGGCTCTGCCCTGAGAGCCTGTGGGTGCAGCCGGGCCTGGTCCCGCTCTGTCCTGCAGATGGAGGTGGCTGTCCTAGTCCCCTGCGTGCTGGGCCTCCTGCTGCTGCCTCTCCTGACTGTGCTGCTGATGGCCCTGTGTGTGCGTTGCCGCAAACTGCCAGGTGAGTGGGGGTCCTCTCCCATGCCCTAGTCCCGTAGTCCATCTTTCTGTCCCTACCTCTGTCCTGCTCCCTGGGACTCTGAGCCCCTGGGTTCCCGAGTCCTGCCATCCCTGCCTCACTGGCCCTCTCCTCTCCAGGCTCCTATGACAGTGCGTCCTCAGATAGGTGAGTCTGCCCCGTCCATCTGTGTGTCGCTCTCCATACCCCATGGCGGGGCTGGAGCTGGGCCTCTCCCGGACCCGCACCCAAACCATGTCTTTCTTGCCAGTACATACCCAAGGAGCATCTTGATCAAACCACCTCGTGAGTACATGGAGGGTTCCCTACCCCAAGCATAGGTGAGGGGGTCCGTGGTGTGTGAGCGAGTCTGTGCCTTTGTGCAGCAGCCCCCTGTCCCCGGGGGCTGCCCACATGGCCTTGACCAGAGCTGGGATGTGGGGGGATGGGAGCCTCTAGGCCTGTCCAGAGCACAGGGGTTTCAGGGGGCTGGTCTGCCTTTGAGGCCTTGATGAGGGTGGGGGATGTTATGTCTGGGGCTTGGTTCTGTGTTCTCAGACACGCTTGCCCCCTGGCCACCTGCCATGTCCTACCCACCTGTTATCTCCTGCCCTCCCCTGAGCCAGCCGGACCTGCTCCCCATCCCGTGAGTAGCCCCTCAATCCCTTCCCTCCAAATCCCACTCTGCCCCTCACTTTCTTGGGTTGGGGGCCTCTTTCCCTGTTGCAGCCCCTCTTGCCCCAAGAGACCTACCCCAGACCAGACATGACCCCTGACCTTTGACTCCCAGGAGATCCCCACAGCCCCCTGGGGGCTCCCACCGGATGCCACCTTCCCGGCGGGATTCAGATGGCAGTAAGTGTGGGGCAGGGGCTTGGGCTGGGCAGAAGGTTGGCCCAGCCTGAGCTGACTCAGTCTCCCTCTCCCTCTCTCTCTGAAGCCAACAGCGTGGCGAGCTACGAGAACGAGGGTGTGTCTGGGAACCTGGGTGCCCAAGCTGGGTGGGGAGGCCGGGGCATGTCCCCGGCCATGCTGACCCCTGCGTCGTTACCCTCAGAGCCAGCCTGTGAGGATGCGGATGAGGACGATGATGAGGAAGACTATCACAACGAGAGCTACCTGTGCGCAGCGGGGCGGGAGGTGGTGGCTGAGGCCGGGGCGTCCTCGCTTAATGCCTGTTACTTCCTTTCAGGGTGGTGCTACCTGACAACACCCCGGCCACCAGCACTACTGTCCCATCCGCTCCTGGGCCCAGCAACCCTGGCCTCCGAGACAGCGCCTTCTCCAGTGAGTCGCGTTTCTGAGCAGCCCACCTTCCCCCCACGTGCCCCAGGCCCTCGGTCTTCCCTCTCGTGTTAATTCCTTGATGACTGCTCCCCTTCTGTGTTCTCCGTTCTTTCTAGAAGAACTCCTGCCCTTCAGATACTGGACTTCCTTCCCTGATCTTCTGATTTTCTTACCCTTTCCTCTGAACTATCTCTTTGCCTTCTTTTTATTGTCTGGGAGAGTTCCTTGATTTTATTCTTCAATAAATTTCCTTTGTCCTATCTAAAAGCTCTCTCGGTCTTGAATGTTCCTTTTTTATGGTTTCCTATTCTTGTTTCATGGAGGCCATTTCCTCTTGTAAATCCTAAGGATATTAACGAGAGGTTGTCTTTTTGCGTGTGCGGAAGTTTTCTTCTGCTTCCTGCATTGTCTCGGTCTCCTTTGAGCTAATTTTCTCCCTTCGGGTCTCATCCTGCGCTGCCTCATCCTCTGGGCCTTTCCTCAGTGTCTGGTGGTCTCCAGTCTTCCGTTACTCTCCTCTCTCTTAATGTACTTGCCCGGGACTATCACTTCCATGCCCTGGCTTCATTTCCCATCCAGATTCCCGCTTTGCCACCTCTCTCCTGAGCTCCAGACTGTCCAAGTGCTTTCTTCATTCATTCATTCATTTGACATTTACTGGGTGCACCTGCTGGGCCAGTGCTAGAGATACACCAGTTAGTGAGGCAGACTGTAATGGTAAAGTAGCTGACATTTATTGAGGGCCTGCACTTGCTCTACAGAGAACTTTACATGCATTAACTTAAACCCCACAACCCCAGGTGCTCTGGATCCCACCCTCTCCCCTCCTGTGCCTCTTCTGTCCCCTCTGTACAATGGCAGCGTTTATTATTTAACAGATGCTTGGCAGCACTTACCGTACGACAGACCCTAATTTACTATTCACTGCTTTAATGCTTACAACTAAGAGACGGGTACTGGTCCTAATGGTATTTTACAGATGGGGAAACCAAGGCACAGAGAGGTTAGGTGACTCATCTGAGGTTACATGGTCAGTTAGTGCTGGAACTGGGATTTCAACCTGGGTGGTTTGGCTCCAAAGCCCACCTTGTCCATGTCCTCATGGAGAAACAAGGCAACACATGGGAAAACCAAATTAACATGGATGGTGACACATGCCACAAAGGGGCTCAGATGGGAGTGGGATGGGCAGGGGGTGGGGAGCAGGGGCAGCACAGGCCCTGGTGAGGAGGAGCAGCCAGCTGGGCCGAGCATGTCATCCCCCTCTGCACGTGCCACCAAACTGCCCCCTCTCTAAGCTGTTCTTCATCCCAGCTCTCCCCCTGGGGGCCATGCTGGGGCCTGCTGACCCCCTGCCCTCCCATGGCTCCACCCACTCTGATTAGTTCTGGTCAAGTGGGCCTCGTCCCTGTCCAGGCCACTGGCATTGCTAGTCTGGTATGCCCTCTCTGCATCCCTGTGGGGCTGACTGTAGGAGGCTGTGTTGGGAGACTCGGGGGGCCCTGGCCATCTGAGGTGGGGGATTTCTGGGGATCTGTGGCTGAGGGCCTCTGGTAACCATGCTGGGGGCCGGCTCCGGTGCTCTCCTGCAGTGGAGTCCGGTGAGGACTACGTGAACGTTCCCGAGAGTGAGGACAGTGCAGAAGCGTCTCTGGGTAAGTGACTGGCATTCCCCCGGTGTCCGGAGTCCCCCTCAGTGTGGCCTCACCCCACCCCAGGGCTGCCCATGATCCCCTCTCTCTGCTGGGGTCCTCTCGCTTTCCCACCCTCACTGTGGCCTGTCCCCCTTCTCCCTGCCCCCACAGATGGGAGCCGGGAGTACGTGAATGTGTCCCAGGAACTGCAGCCGGCAGCCAGGACCAAGCCTGGTGTGTGGGGGAGGCGGGGCAGAGAGGGGGAGCTTCCTTGGGGGGTGGCTTGCAGCCCAGAGCCCAACCTCCCTTCCCCCACAGCCACCCCGAGTTCCCAGGAGGTGGAAGATGAGGAGGAGGAGGAGGAAGGGGGAGCTCCAGATTACGAGAATATGCAAGAGCTTAACTGAGGCCTGGTGAGAGGCCCTCCCCGCCCCCAGCCCTGCCCTGGACCTGCGGGCTCTTGTCCCTCCCTTGAGGATCCCCTTCCTGACCCCTTCCTGCCACCTTGGGCCTGTCCTCTCCGACTCTGGGTACGCTGCTGATCCCCACCCACCTCCTGACCCCAAACCCTTCCCTCTCTCCCCCGCCCTGTTGTGTTTCAGTGTGAGAAGTGTCCTGGATCCAGCCTTGCACGGGAGGGCTGAGCTGGGCAGAGGAAGTGGCTCTGGGGATCCCCTCGGCGCCCTGCCCTGGCTCCAGCCTGACAACAGCCTGAGAATTTCTCCTAACTTATTGTCACTTTGGGGTCCAGTCTGTGTCCCCCAACACTCTGCACCTTCTGACGCAGCCTGAGAATGAGCTACTCTGGCCCCAGCCCTACTCTTTGTAATAGAATAAAGGCCAGTGTAGTCTGTCATCCTCTTGGCTTTGGGGGGGCCAGTGGGTCAGAGTCAGGGTGAGTGTGGGGCTGGGTCTGAGGCCTGCGTGTGTCTGTGTTGAGTGTGTGTGTGTGTGTGTGTGCGTGTGTGTGTGCGTGCGCGTGCGCACGCGCGAGTCTGTGGGTCAGAGAACATCTGGATATATCTGTGTGTATGTCTGGGTCTCCATCCTCCACAGGGGCGCCATGCTCCTGATGGTCCTGGCCAGGTGCTGTGAGGGACAGCCGACGATGGCCAGGACACTCTCACCTTCTGACCCAGTGGGCACTTCTGGAGTGCGCCTCCCCATGAGCTCGTGGCAGCCGCTGGCCGCGATGATGACTGATGACAGAGCAAGGCTGGGGAGCCCTGGGCAGGGAGCAGATGTGGACAGCAAGACCCTTCCCCAGTGGCCCTCAGCTTCTCCATCCTTAGGTCCCGGGTCTGGACCTGATGACCTCAAAGGACTCTCTTAGTTTTTACCTATTGTACTTCTCAATAAAACAGAACTTAAACATTGTGGAAGCAACTAAAAACGTTCATGTGCAGCGCAGCGCTTTCCAAGCTCTGAAGTGCAGACGAGTCCTGCAGATCTTGCTACAGCGCAGATTCTGCAAGTCTGGGATGCATTTCCACGGAGCTACCGTGTGATTCTAATGCTGCTGATCCATGAGCCACACCTTGCATAGCGAGGGTCTGGTGGGTACCTATTGTTTTTACTGGCTGGGATCCATTTCCTCTGATTTGGGGAATTTTACCTCAGATTTCCTCCAGGATCTGCTCCCTTCCCAATCTCATTCCACGTGATTTTGGAGATGGGTGAACCACCCTCCACTTCAGGAGGTGAGCACATGATCCAGACCTGGGCCATGGCCATCTCTGGCTCAGAGATAGGATGTGACCCAACCCCGGGCCAGTTAGGAGCAGCCCTGGGACTGCGGCAGGTGGTGTTGGGGAGGAGAAGATTTTTTTGTTTACAGCAGTTATTAAGCTGGAAGGCTGCTGTCCTGGAGCTACCCCTTGGAGAGCCTGCCTGAGAAGGAAGCCAACATGGAGGAGAGAATGGCCGGGGATGGATGGGACCAGATCCCTGATGGTGTCATTGCAACTCCTGGATCTAGTCACACCCAAAGCAAGACCTCGCTCTGACTTCCCAGCTGTGTGGGTCAATAAATTACAACTTGTCTTCAACCCAGCTTGACTTGGGGTTTCTATCCCTACAACCAAAGTAGTCTGACTGACACACCAAGCTGTTGGCAGTTCTGGGGACTCCAGAGGTAGCAATAGCAGCTTTCCTAATGGAGCGTCTGCTGCATGTCCATGCTTATCTCGTTTATCATCATACGGTTAGTATCCCATTTTGCAGGTGAGGAAACACAGGTTCGGAGAGGTCAAGTGACTTGCCCAAAGACAGCTGAAGAGGTAAATCTGGTATTAGATCTGTGGCTGTTGGTCCACAGAGTCGCACTTCCACTCTGACCGCTGTCTCCTTGTTCTGGTTATTGTCCAAAGTGCTGGCTGCCCTGATTGGGGAAGCTTAGAAGCAGCCCAGTTGGAGAAGTTGAGGGCAGGAGGGTCTGGAGAGGAGATTGGATGGGCTGGACATCAATGCTGGTGTTAAATCCTCTTATTTGGGGAAAATAGAAATGGACAACTCAGTTGGTTAGAGCGTGGTGTTATCACACTAAGGTCAAGGGTTCAGATCCCCACACTGGCCAGCTGCCCAAAAAAAAAGGGCAGAAGCAACTTTGTGCCTGAGTGAGGGACAAAGACAGTTTACCAACAAGGTGCGTTGGCACAACCAATCTAGCAACATGTAGTAAAGCTGCAGATGTGTGTGTCCCTTGGCCTAGAAAATTCCTGGGTATAAACCCTGACCAACTCGAGCACATGGACTAAGGAGACAGGTACAAGCTGGCTCTGGGCAGCATTGTAATGGCGACAGGTGGAAACAGCTTAAGACACCTGTCACCGGAGGGCATCAAGATAGGCGTAGGAGTGAACAGTGCCAAATTCAGGACAGTGGTGACCTTGGGGTGGGTGGCGGGAATGAGATTGGGGAGGAGTTCAAGGAAGCCCTCAGTGAAATGTACAGTATCTATTTTTTGTGCATGTAGCTGGCCCGTAAGGGATCCAAACCCTTGACCTTGGTGTTACAATACTGCACTCTAACCACTTGAGCTAACTGGCCAGCGTAGTATCTTATTCTTAAATGGGGAGGGTGTATACAGGTGTTCTATACATTATTCTTTACGTGCTTGCAGATCTGACTGATTTTATAATAATTAAGAAACATCAAGGCCCAAGGAGGGAGTGGGTGGGAGCAGGACAGTAGGGCATAAGCTGCTTTAGGGAACAGTGAACAGCAGTCACCGTTTGGTTTGTGCCAAGTGGACAAGTTGCATATAGGGCTCGAGGCCTTAGGAACAGCATGTGCAAGCGCCCCGAGGTGTGTCTGAGGAACTGAGAGAAATTCCATATTTGGGACTGGAGAAGGCACAGAGAGGTGAGAGTGGGTAGAGGGTGGGGCTGAACAGGCAGGAAAACTTTACCCTGAGATCCAGGGGCTTCCCTGGAGGCTTTGGAGCAGAGAATGACATGATCAGATTTGTGTTTTAGCAAATACAAGTGTCTCTGGCTTGGTTGATGGAGGGAGGGGATGGACGGTGAGGGCAGGGAGACCCCAAGGAGGCTGTTGGAGTAATCCACGTAGCAATGCTGGGGGTCTAGTCCAAGGACAGGGCAGGGGTAATGGGGAGAGGTGGTAGAGTTAGGAGATGTTTGGGACACAAAGTCAAGGGACACAGTGATGGGTTGGCCATGGGCTGTGAGGCATGAGGGGGCCCTGGGTGATGCTGATCCTTGCCTTGGTGGCTGGGGCAGGGGGCATTTCTTGAGGCACTGAACAGCTTCCCATTTGTGTTTCTTGGACCAAGAAAGAGGATGTGGCTTTGCTTTCACAGTTGATGACCCAGGCGGGATGGACAGAGAAGTCAGTGCACTGGCGTCTATGGGGCTGTGGTTCCTTAGCACATCAGGGTGGTCAGTGGGCAGAATCCCTACAGATGGAAGCTGGGGAGCAGAAATAGACTTTTCTTGAATTCTGGTGTTGGAGAAAAAGATTTAGTGACAAGTGAGAGAGAGAGAGAGCGTTTTCTGGAATTGCTGGGATAGATATCTGGATGCTTCTAAAAGCCATCAGGCGGTAACAGCTCCCTCTGCCCCTGGGCAGAGGAAGGCAGATGTGGCCATGGAGACACGCCAGTATTCCCTAACCGGTGGGCAGGTGGCCTACGGACAAGGTGGTGACAGTGACTGCCGCCATAGTTTGGGCTCTTTGTGATGTTCAGGGTAGCTTTCCCCAAATGCATTGTGTGTGCCATTAGTCCTGAGAGAAGCTTGTCGAGAAAGGCTTCTGCAGTCAGAAGAATCTGGGAAAAGCGGCATTCTCTCTCTACCACCAAAATGCACATGAATAAGGTAACGGCTCTGAGAAATCCTGCAATGAGTATCTCTAGTTCTCTTTGCCTAACCTAGTATTTCCCAAATTTATTTGACTTCAGAACCTTTAAAACATGTTACTGTCGGGCCGGCCCGGTGGCGCGCTGGATAGTGCGCCGCTTGGGAAGCGCGGTGGCGCTCCCGCCCGAGGGTTCGGATCCCACATACAGACCGGTTCCCGCTCACTGGCTGAGCGAGGCGCGGGAGCAACACCAAGGGTTGCAATCCCGTTGCTGGTCCCTGGTCCAGTACGGGGGCAACACTGAGGGTTGCGATCCATTGCCGGACACGGAAAAAGACAAAAAAAACAAACTAACAAACAAAAAAAACATGTTACTGTCAGTGTTGTGCAGACCACCTCTGACATCCGTAGAGGACATATTTTGTTTTTGCCTTTCAAGCATTGGTTCCTCCTTCCAATGACACCATCTGGATTTCCTGTGGAAATGTTTATGTGCCTCAGGTGGGGCCAGCTTCTCAGGTGTGCAGGTGACCCAGGACCAGCTGATCATTTTACCTCACTCCCTGGCCTCAATAACTGGTTGCTGGCTGGCTGGTTAACTCACTTGGGAGAGGGTGGTGCTGGGAATGTCAAGGTCACAGTTCAGATCCCAGTACTGGCCAGCCCCCACCTCCTCCCAAAAATCCAACTAGGCTGTTATAGGGCCCTATGAGCCATTGCAAGCCAATCAGACATGTTCCTGAGACTTTTGGTGGCCCTAGTGGGAAAGGGCAGCTCTTTTCTCAGGTTGTCAAGCTGATGAGAGAAGCCTGCAGGCTTCCACCTGGGCAGCACCTGCCGCAGAACAGCCCAAGGGGGCACAGAGGAGTGCAGAGTCAAAAACAGAAAACTGAGTCCTGATGACATGTCTAAGCACCTGGATCCAAGGTGTCCAAAGCCATTACCCCTCAAAGAACAAATCAAACCCCTTAGGCCAACTCGAACCAGGCTTTCTGCCACTTGCAGCAAAAAGACTCCTAAATGATAACTGTAGCTACTATTTCCATAAAATCCCACCATCAGGCCATCCTGAGCTAGTGATGCATCCCTGGTGGCCCATGTAGGAAAATTCCAGATTCACTTTTCCTCCTCCTGTACCTCCTCCAAATGCCCCTCAGAGACACCCGGATGAACCTGTCCCCCAACACAGCCTGATTCACCTTACAGCAGATAACCTCTGTCTCCTATTCACACGGGCTTACACACACTCACCTCAACCCCCTCCCAGGGCCTATCTCCCTCCTCAGTCCCCTCAGGAAAATCTCTGTGCTTCCCGACTTTTGTTTTATATATTTGGTTTCCTTAGTCTCAGAAATGACAATTTTAATTGTCTAATTCCAAAAAGAGGACTGCATTGGATGGAATACAAATCCGGAGACTTAAGTTTTAGTACCAACTCTGCCACTAGATTTCTGGAGGAATTTGGGGAACTTTGAGAATGCTGGACTTAAGTTTTAAAACCTTCTCATTCTGGGGGCTGGCCAGTTAGCTCACTTGGGAGACTGTCGTGCTGGTAACACCAAGGTCAAGGGTTTGGATCCCCTTACCGGCCAGCTGTCAAAAAATCCTCTTCTCATTCCAGGGTACCAGACCCCAGAGGGTGTCCCTGAAAGTAACAGGACGGGATCCTTGTTGCTGAGAAGGCTGGAAGGGTTTAGGCATGGCTGGAGTCAGAGGCCGGAACATCAGAATCCACGTTCAGCTTCTCTCCAGTGCTCTGCTCTCCTTTCTTTATTGACTCCAGTTTGCACAGTCTCTCCCTGTGTGGTCACGTTATGGTTCTGGCAGCTCCAGGGACCATAGCCTTTCAGGTTCCCATCCTGGGGGGTGAAATGTCCCAGTATTTCTAGCAAAAGCCCTAAACTTACTCTGACCGGACTAGCTTGGGACACATGACTCCCCTGAAGCAATCACTGGCCAGGAGAACTGCCAGGTTTAGGCCCGCCCACATCTGATACTCCACCCCCAGCTCTAAGGGACTGGAAATGGGGAATGTACCCAAAGAAAATTAGAGACTACTGCTGGTAGAAGGGAGGGTGGCTGCTGCAATGCTTTTATTTCTGTGTGCCTTGCTCACTATCACACTGAGTCTCACAACACCTCGGGTGTGAGGAGCCCCATTAGGTAGAAAAGAAAACAGGCTCAGAGAGGTTAAACAATTTGCTTAAGGTCACACAGCAAATTCCAGTGACTTATGGAAGTGCAGCTTCCTTGAGTGGGGTGGGGAAGGCTGTGTACTAGTTCAAAGTTGGTGCAAAAGGAGCGAACAAAATGACCAACCAAAAGAGAAATCCCACAGAGGGTAGATTCTGCTTTGCACAGAGACTTTTGCTAGAACTGTGAGAATGAGGCTCTCTTTTTCTGCTGGGACCACTCAACAGGGGGGATGTGGAGCTGCCAGGGACCACCTTGCCTGGCAAGAAGAACACGTGCCTGAGAGAGAAGGCAGTGTCCGTTGGGAGGTGAGGGAGTCAGGCAGGCTCCCACGAGAGTGTCTGGGGGGCTGGAGGCCCAGGGTCTTCCAGGAGTTAATGAACATCCTTCTTTGGCCTGCTCCAGCTTCACTCAGCTGGGTTTCTGTCATTTGCAAACGACAGAGTCCTGACTCATCTAGACAGGATGCTGCCAGAGCGCCAGCCTTCATCAGCACGGGCCCATCTTAGGCGCCTGCCACGTGCATGTGTGGCTC